ATTTAATTCTGTTTCTCAGCAGGACATAAAAGTTTCCTTTTAGGCTTCTTAAATCACACTACAGTCAGCTACAGAAGTACCCAAGTTGCTTCTGCCCTACTCCTGCACCTATAAACTGTAACTTTCTACTAGTCTTAATGTGCGCAGCTAATCACTGTAGTGAAATTCATCTACCAGTTTTACCATTTTCAGTGGAGATACTCCGTAAACATGCAGAAGAAAATAAAATCCTCCCCAAAGTTTTGCTATGTGCCCTGCTAAGCACTAATCCTTACACTGGAGAACAGGCCTTTGGAACAGAAGTAATTGCAGTTTGAATCTGTGTGTATGCTACTTATAACTTCCTTGATGTGTATTTGAGAAAAAGAGAACCCTGCAATGCATGAAATGCATCTCTGAGAAATACAAAATGGGCCACGCTACAGTCAGCAATGTTCTGCTAGAACACAGTTGCAGCAGAACTGAGATGCAGTCCAGTCTAATACTTGCAGTTAAAATATTGCTGACTTCAAACTGAACTTGCCCTACCAGGTAAACCAAAAGAATGCAGAAATAGGTGGAAAAAAATGCAGAATTTGTCAAAATATGCTTTTAGAACTTTTACCCTACCCCAGCCAAAAATTAGAAAGGATTCAGATGCAATATGAGCTTGATCTTAAGAAGAAACTTGGATTCAAAGGCAAATGACAGCTTCATTTAATGAAAAATTTGCCAGAATTTTCACTAAACAGAACTGTTTAGTGGCCAGCTAATGGATAGTGGAAATCTATAATCCTTGAGCTGTTCCAAAGACTGGAAGGTAATCAGAAAACTGGCACAAAAGACAGGATTTCAACTCTTTCATGGCATGTATTATAAAAGAGGCATGATAATAGTGAAAAATAAACATCTTTTTCTTCTAGGAAAAGTTTGTGGGACTTGAACAGTTGCACAGTAACATCTGGTTTTACTACTGACAGTAAAATGTCTTACCTAACTAGCACTAGACAGAAAAACAATTCTTGTGGGTTTGAGTGACAGCCCCGCTCATCATCTTGAGAGGATCAGATGCAAAACCAACTGTTCATTCCACCGAAAAAAAAGACTTCTTTGGAGAAGTATCTGCTAGCAGCCAGGAAGAACCTGAAGAAAACTAGACTGTCCGATGATTAAGGACACAAGGAACATGTCAAGCCTCTTAGCTATTCAGAGACATAACTGTTCACTGTGCCCAGGAAAAGCTATGCATTTGAATAGAATTCAGAAAGCTGCAGTGGTCAAGGAAGCTGCTTAAAGTGGCTCAAAAGAACTTTTGAGAGGTGAGGTGAGTAAGGTAAGAAGTGCCTATCTTCAAGAACAGATGCTTTACTCTGAATTGCACGGAGATACACATCTCCATTCGAGGTTTTCAACCCTTCTTGATTTAGGCTCCTGTAGGAAACTCTCAGAAAACAGCAACCGCCACTACTTTCCTATCCTCATCTGACTGGTCTAGTGCACTTCCTTCCCAACGTACGTCTCAGTTCATTTGGTCTGTAGCATTCCACAGGTCAAACCATGCTTGCCGTGCCTCAAGTCTCCTCTGCACAGACTAGGCAGGGTTGCTAGTCCTGACAGAGGAAGACATGCTACTTCTAAGCTGTAGCACAAACAAGTTACTTTTTCTTTGCCCACAATACATTTGCTGAGACTCACGGAGTAGGTAGGCTGCCTTTCAGGACTACTACATCTGTCATTTGAGTTTAAAGCAGGCTTCAGCAAGCAGTAGCTACCAAGATAGTATTAGCTTTGAAATATGCACTAGAACTTCAGACATATTATGTGATGTGATAAAGTATCTTCATGATTTGCAGGAGCTTTTATCATTGTTCTATTAGATTCAGGTGCGTATGGAAAAAAAGTCTAGATTAGATTGCAGCATTTAAAGCAAGTTGGGCTTTTCTATGAAACCTGCAGTATTTTTTCTAGTCTGAGGTGCTGACGTCAAAGACTTGCAAAGCTACTATAGATGAGACCTCTTAATAAATACATACGTGGGTAAGAGGGAGAAAGAACTCTTAAGCTCTTTAACTTGCTGGTGTGGCAATTGCTGCTATTCCAGACTTGCCAGAATTCCAGTCAAAAAAAGAAAAAAAAAAAAGCAGTAACTGCTGGAGATAGCAAGATGGCATTATAATGTAGACAGCAAATATTACTAAATTGCTTGTTGAGTTTTCAAAACAATAAGCTTTCTATTAGGTGTATTTTTTGCTTTGCTTTAAAGTTTGGCTTGATTAAATAATTATTTTGTCAAGATTAATCAAACTGGTCCATGGGACAATGGTCAAGAAACACTCGTGCTCCAATACCATTCCTTTTAAATAGTTTATGGGGACCTTTTGCTACTGCTGAACTTGCATTACTTCAAAACTGCAAAGCAAAAAGCAAGAACTTAGAAGCGCACCACAGTTTCATTAAGCTTCAAGAAAATAAAATGTAACCTACGCTGAATTAGGATGTAGCATCAATTTTCACAAAGAGGAAGCAGTTTCCATGTAGTTACATATCAGCTTCCAAAGTGTTTGTTGCCCAGATTTTTGGGGGTTTTGTTTTTTTCTTTCCAAGAAGCTAGACTTCATGACAGTCAATACATATCTTGAAGATGAACTGTTTCAACAGTGTTTACTTTTCATTCACACTTCACTAGTGAGGTTCATCCCTTTAAGAAAAGGAACTCAACATTAAGAAGCAACCTAAGAGTTCTTTACTTACCTTTCTGATTTCATACTAGCATCTTATGAGTGTCTTCAGCAATTACCATTGACCTTCTATGAAAATGGATGCAAAACCACAAAATCTGGGTTTGGTTAAAAAAAAAAAGGTGGTGACATGCTAAGTGCCAGATAACATCAGATCTTTTCTCACGTACGTTTTAACAACCAATTAGCCAGAGTATTTAAAAGAGGTAATTTTAGATGTACCCATGTATATTTGGGGCACACTGCTAATCTGCTTATGAACTGAATTATTTCTGCATTTCAGCAATTTCCTGTATTAGGCAAGCAAGAACCATTTCCCCAGCAATATCTTCACTGGAAACCTTGAGAATTCATTTTCCTCACTAGAAGGGCCGTTGCCATAAAAGAAAGCATCCCTGCATTAGAGATTTATCTGTACCACTTTCAGAATCTAAAATTTTCTTTCTGTAACACCGCAACATACACTTCCTACTTTAGCAATTATTCCAGATGAACAATTATATAAGGCTCCCAGCTTTCTCCTCTGCCTTGGGGAAAAAAATATTCTTGATTTAGCCAGTAGAAATTCAAGCAATACTTTTCAAGATAAATTAGTAATGTTTATAGTTACAATTTCACTTGTACTTTGTTCTGCAACTTCAGTGTTAAGTAATATTTGCTTTTTAATACTAGGGAGCATTGCCATTTTAGGTAGGTGTTAGATGTTGATACAATCCCCAACCCATGGCTTCCAACCAGTCTTCCCAAGAAGGAAATTTAAGATTCATTAGCTGTAACAAATAGAAAAAGGAGTAAAATGCACAGAGGAGGACTTACAACACTTGTCTCCAACAGTGTTGATCATTCTCCATCAGTTGCCATGATCCAGCCCCCTCAAGAAGCTTATCTTTGCCACCTCAGATTAGCCACTAGGCCTGGAAAGCAAGATAGGGCCTTCGGATAAGGTTTATCTTCTCGCCTACCCCGCTGATGGTACATCCCCAGTGGAGCTAGTCCACTTAATAAACCTACAATTTTAGAGCAAAAGTTGAGAACACTAGCTTCTCACTCCCCTGCCATATGTTAACTAGTATTACTTGTAAATGCTAAATCCTGTTACAGAATCAGATCATTAACTGTGGTAACTGGCTGAGTATTTTACGTAGCTTATAATATTTAGAGTCCTGCGCATTGATTCATACCATCTGGCCCAACAGCACAGAGGCTTTCTTTATGCCAAGTGCAGTTCATCCAGCCCCAGCCGTCACAGCCCTCTAGTGGAAACGCAGGAGGGAGTTTTGATGGCATTCATCCACCGTGGCTTGCTTTTGCTCATCTGCCTTCTGGGCTGCTCTCAACTCAGCACAACTGCTCTTCTACCAGGCTTAGCCAGAGATAAGTGTCACTTCTCCCTCTGTGCTGTCAAGGGAGACCTCAGCAACAAAGAGCACAGGTCTTTCAGGACTTCCGTGCACTTGCAGCCCAGCTAGAGAGAACTTCCCCCCCTCCCCCATCCCCCCATCCCTGCAGAGCTGCTCTGTCTGCCTTGCCCAGCCCACTAGGGCACAAGGGAGAACATTGTTGAGCAGGAACTCTAGGTCCAAGCTTTGGTACACCACTTCTCTATTAGCATCTCCCATTGCAAAGGGGCAGGAACAGCTGTTTTCATCTTTTTTCTACCTCCTCTAAGGCACAGGGGTGAGGAAGTTCACTTTTAACTACCACCCTAGTAGTGTTTAGACACTACCGGCATACTTAAGGACAACACTGTTACCTAACCTGTCAGAAACCTGTTGGGAATTGTCTACTGGCTCTGTGCCAGTCATGCTTATGTTTCGTTTTCTATTATCTATCAAAACTTTCATTGAAAGCTTTTGCCTTCAGGCTTTTTAGATAGTCACCCAAGTCCAAGAACTGTGGTGCTGTACCTAAACCCAGGTGTGGCCGCAAACATATACAAATAACATTTAAGGAAAAGTGAAGTTTACATCCTAGAGAATACCAGTCATGTTTCTGCTCTCTAGAGATTATGATGATGATGATTTCATCACATTTGCAATTTCTGTTCCCTGAGATGTCAATATCCCCTCCTCTCAAGGGATCCTTCTACCACTTCAAGGCTTATATAGGCAGTGGCAAAACATAAACAATCAAGGAAATAGTTTTGGCATTAGAGATAACGTTTTAAACAGTAAAGACCACATCAGGATGCTCAAGAGAACCACAACAAAACCTACTAAAACTATCCAAAACTGCATATACACCATAATTCCATCATATCCAAAAATTGACTCCCAAGTGTAAAGTCACAAAGACAAGAGTTTAATATTGACAAAAAAAAAAAAGCTTAAGTTAGTGGTATTTTCTTCCTTGAAATAACACACTGGTCATATGAAAGTCACTGAAGAGGTCTGCTTTTAGCTCGGAAGACTTTTACAGTTACAGCTGAATTCAAAAACCCTAATTCCAAGTGTGTGATGTTAACACAAAAACTGAAAACTTCAGACCTGGGATAAAGAACAAATTCAGTTGTCAAGATTCTAGCAGTTACGTGAGGCCTTTCAATGCCCTTCCCATAAGATGAAAAGTTCTTCAGTATCTTTCCCACCACCATTATTTCAAGATTTACAAGGTTCTTTAAAATACTAATGGGGTTAAATTGAAACCAAGCGCCATATGCTTGTAATGTCTCCTGTGAAGGTCTGAAGCCACCCTGTTTCAATTATTTGGTTATTCAGTGCAGAAAGTTAAAGATCACAGAAGGTATAACAGCTTTTAATACTCCATTAATATTATAGATTAAAAATTATTGCATAGTCTTATGCATTTCCTAAAACAGCGTTCTCTGGAAATTAAACATTTTAATATAAAAGGAGCAACTCTTTAAAACATGAATTGCTTTCACTACCTCGATCTTCTATCCTTTTTTGATTTGTCAGTACATTTGTCCATTGTTTTCTCATTGTCTCCTCTGCACTTGGGGCAATACCATTTCCCCTTTGGTTTGTAGGTGAGTCCAACACATGAAAAGTGGAACCACTCAATAGGACACTGTTCGTTATCACATCCTATCATTTCACCGTAAGACACTTGGTTGCATAAGCAGTAAGTTGGTTCATTGGGATCAATTGCAAATTCTACAGGTGAAACCTCCCTCTCTTGTTTGGCTTTGGAGCGTTTTTTCTTCTTGGAAGACTTAGATCTTTTTTCTTTAGGTGGCTGATCATCGCAGTCATCAATACCATTTGCTATATGGCACAGATCACGGCTTTCGCTGGTTCGCTGGCGACGAGGTCTACGCGAAGATCTCTCTGGCTGGCAGGACTCCATCTTTGCCTTTTCTAGAGGCTTTTCATTCTCAGACAGATCTTGAAAACACTGAGAATGTGTTTCCATTTGCCGGGCTCTGTTCTCCACCAGTTCTAGCATCTGAGTAACTATTTGAATTTTTTCATCTCCAAGTTCTTGGCTGTTGATTAATGCACGCTGAAGATGCTGCTGCAAGCGTTTCTTCTGAACAGGATCATTTTCTGACTTGTATTTTTCATAGACATCATCTATTTCTTTTAACGCTTCTATAAAATAAAGATAATAGGAATAATTACACAATATGGAACACGCTCAAGAAAATATAGAAATGTATTTCTAACTGATGAGAAATAGTACAAATTTTAATCATCGTATACCCTAGTGGGCTAGATCAGATATTTTATTCAAGTTGCACGTGGTCATCAAATCAGTGTTTAAGATCACAATCTGTTGCAAGAAAAAAATCTTAAGTTCTAAGAAAAAGCAAGCTTATTTAAGCCACTGGAAAAAGAAAGGATAACCCAAGAAAGGGAACCATAGCTGCTGGAGCACAGATAGTCCAGATCCTGCCTCCATCTGAAAAAGCAAGAATTTCTGTTGAGAGTCCTTACCACAGTAGTGGTAAGGCAGACTCCTGCCTACAAACCAAAGCAATAGCTTATTATATCACAGGAAGAAACTTAGAATTCATATAATTATTATATATCATGATACATAACACTCCAAAATTAGGATATCCAGGTCCTCTGCCTTCCCCTTCTTATTCATCTAAAGGTTTGGTATTACACTTTCAAGTAGACATAGTGATAGAAGGAGTACGACAACTTAAGTTACACAATAGCAAATTTACAATCAGGATTTAAATAAATTTAAACCACTCAAAATGCTTTTCCTATTACCAAGACAAATTACTGCAAGTTGTATTTTAAATCGAGGCTGAACTTTACAGAATAGGTGACCTACTGCTTAGTGCATCACAGGATATTTTTAAGCAACTAGTAACGAGTGGCTCACAGTTTGACTTCTAAGTTTTCTTCTTGCAAGTCATGCAAAATAACTGCAGGGATTGCTGTAAATCTTTCATAAAATCTAGTTCTTAGAAGCAAGTTTAATGAACCCAAATACGAGATTAACAAATGCCTTATAAGCCAGTCTTAGTCTTTAGTCTATTGTTCTATATTGCTGGATTTTAAAATAATATTCCCAGACCTAAAGTTAAACTAGATCTATACATAAGAGACAGAAATTGCTAACGTGTAAGGAAATAGATGAGCAGAACTGACAGTGAAACCTGCTGCACAGCATTAGATACAGTTCTGGTTCCTTCAGAAACAACTTAAGGATTTTATTTGAACAGGCAAGGGAATTTATGAATGACACTAAACTATTTACTTCTAAAGCGAGAAGGTATGCAGTACAATCTATCTCTTCCTAAAGACCCGCATTTCACAAACTGGCTTTCATTTTTAAAGAATTTGTCTGCATTGTACAGTTCCAAAATGATTCAAGCTTGTGCTAAATGGAAGCCATAGATATTATCTCAACATTGTTCAGTGACTTTTTTTGCTACTGACATCTTGAAACAGTAGCTTAAGTGTGAACAGCCGTTTTTTACTATATAGTCTGAAAACCTGTATGACAACAGGAGCCAACAGTATTTTGTTCTGTTCCAGACTTTCACTAGGGGAAGAGAAGAATCACTACTCGGCCTGTCCAATAACTCAATCTATTTTTTTTCTCAATACTAGCATTCCAGCTGCCGTTAAAAAACACAGGCTTTGTTTCCCTGCACCTTCAGCTACACCGCTTGCCTGTTGCCCTGACTGGAGGAGGGGGGGAATAAAAAAAAAAATCTTACTCTCTGCTCCTGAAAAGGGTGGAGTAAGGTACTTTGTGGCCTGTTGAACTAGAAAGGCATAACCAGAATACAATATTCTGCAGCCACATTATC